GGAAGGAGGAGGTAAAGATGATGGCGTTGCGTCAGAAACTTAAAATAAATTTGTTTACAAACGCATGCATGAGCAATGAGGGAGGCTTGCAATGAAACAGGGTCAAGTGCATTATTGACTTGGGAACGGTACTTTATCCTGTTTTCAGATAAGTCAGCAAGAAATAGGCACTTTGCAATCAGCAGATACAGAGTATATGAATACATAATAATGACGTAGCCGTGACTGCCTAGGTGTCTAAAAGATCGCAACGCAATTTGTCAACCTGTTTCGTTTTGTTTTTTCTTTCTTTCTTTTTCTTTCTTTCTGTTTCTCTATCTTTCTATCTAGATCTATCTATCTTTCTAGACGTTGCTTGAACATTGCATGCAAGATGTTAACCTTCCAACAACAAGTTCCATTCTGTTTAATCAGCTGCTTTCTGAGTCCGGGTTGAGTCCATTTTCTCTTTGATGTCGTCCAGCCATTTTCTTCCTGGTCTTCCTCTTGATATTTTCCCCTATTTTTGGTCTCCATTCTGTACACGCGGTTGTCCTTCACTCAGCCGATATGACTAACGTACTTCCATTTTTGTTGTAGTTGTAGAGTCAAGTAGGGGGTATCTGTCACTCGTGTTTTCTCTTGTACATGAGGTCGCTTTTAAGGACAAGCGAGCTAACCCAGATTTCGGAGGTTTCCAGAAATCTTGATCAACGCCAGAAGTGGGCATTGCCCTACCTATTGGAGAGGTTTGGTTTCATTGATGTGCGTATATTTGTTTGGTTATAGAGAAAACTTTCCTTGCCTTTTAAAGAAACTGAACTAGGCCAAAAACTTTACCTTCGATTTTCTCAAAACAGCATTTTTCGGGATAGCCCCATTGTGATTAAAAGCGACCATGTATCTGTGTGGTGATTAATTTGCTCTTGAAATCGTATGCATGTCACCTTCCTTTCCACTACTCTTTGTGTTTCTTGATGATATTCCTGGTTACTGGCCATGATTTGGCACCAATAGCTTAATGTTGGGACAACGCATTGATTTAAAACTTGTCTTTTCAGTGATATCAGCAGATTTCGATCTTTACATATTTCCCTTTACTTTCCAAAGCAACTTCATATAGGCTCCTGACTCTTTTCTGCTGCCTTTCTACTGCTAGAATGCTACACCTTGGCTTCTTCTTACTGCTTTCTTAAAGCCACAACCCTGATATTAGGGTAGGTAAGATCTAACATCTAGACTTCTAGGATAAGGGAGAAAAGTCTCAGGGGTCTCATGCGCAGGCTGCGTACGTTAAAGATCCATTGTTGATGATAAAATCGTTAAGAGTAGACGTTGCCCGCCACTTGGGCTGAAAATTATTTCTTCAAACTGATTAGCTCATGCTTAGTGAGCCCCGCGCTTACATGGCCTTATGCAGTTGCGAGCGCCGTAAACATTGACAAATTTTTAAAAAATATGGATAGCATTTTCCCTTCCATTGGTCGTTGTGCAGTCCTTAATTTCTTGATGATATCCCTGTTTGGCATCTACAGCTTATTGTTGGGACAACGCACTGATTGAATATGGGTCTTTTCAGTGATACATGTATCGGCAGATTTTGATCTGTACATATTCTGTATTTTCCAAAGCAACTCCAAGCCATGTAGATTATATTTATTTGAAATCACTGTAACGGAGGGGGCCCTTGTGGCTGCGTAGTTGAAGAGCTCAAGATCAGAGTCATGTAATGCCAGGCGTGTGTCTGTGACACGGCCTTCAGGTGGATGGTCACTGGGGCGTGTCCTTGATTCAGCAGGAAACGATAACCCCAGTTCAAAAACAGGGCGCTGCACAGTGGCGACCAGCAGTGGTGTCTAGACTGTCTATGTCTGTGATACTATGTATTATTCATGAATTTATGAATTAAGAATGCCTGATTTCAGAATTCCAAAGACAGTGTTCTATTCTGAACTGTCCTCTGGGAAGTGTAAAGTTGACGCATCAAAAAAGCGTACAAGGACAACCTGAAATTGAAAAGGTCTCTGAAGGACTTCAACATAAATCATTTGACATGGGAGAGCCTTGTTCCTGACAGACCCAGCTGGAGAGCAGCAGTCGCAGTGGGCAGCAAATCATATAAGGCTTCACGAATAAAAATAAATTGTAATGCTGAATTCAAGAGGGAAGCCCACAAGCTGTGCACATCGACAAGAGGAAGTGGAGCCTTTAACTTTAAATGTTCAGAATGTGGT